GTGGTGTGAATGCTTGGTCATTAGGGAGTGGTGTGAATGCTTGGTCACTAGGGAGTGGTGTGAATGCTTGGACATTAGGGAGTGGTGTGAATGCTTGGTCATTAGGGAGTGGTGCTACTTGAGAGGGATTCAGAGGTGTGGCCTTGTTGGAGGAAATGTGTCACTTGGGGTGGGCTTTGTGCTATCAAAAACCCAAGCCAGTCCCAGTTCTCTCTCTCTCTCTCTCTCTCTCTCTCTCTCTCTCTCTCTCTCTCTCCCTCCCTCCCTCCCTCCCTCCCTCCCTCCCTCTCTCTCTCTCTCTCTCTCTCTCTCTCTCTCTCTCTCTCTCTCTCTCTTCCTGGTGCTTTTGGAATCTCCATGTAGATCTCTCCGCTACCAGGTCTGTCTGTGTGCTGCCATGTTCCTCACTATGAAGATAACAGACCTCTGAAACTGTAAGCAAACCCCGCAAACCCCAATTAAATGCTTTTGTTTATAAGAGTTGTCATGATCGTTGTGTCTCTTCATAGCAATGGAACACCGGATAAGACACCAACAAAGTACAAGACATAGAAAAGAGATTCTTGAGTGTTGAAGCCAAGTTAAAGAATACTGAGAGCTCAATCAAAGAAAATGGTAATCTAAAAAATAAATAAATAAATGCAGGCTCAAAACATCCAGGAAATCTGGGACACTATGAAAAGACCAAATATATGGAGGAAAGGGGACAAAGTAAGAAGAATACCATCAAAGGAAAAAAATTTAACAAAATCATAGAAGAAACTTTCCCCAAACTAAACAAGAAAATGCCTATTAAGGTACAAGATGTACACAGAGCACCAAATAGACAAGACCAGAAAAGAAATTTCCCATGTCACATAATAATCAAAACACTAAATGTACAGAACAACAACAAAAAAAGGAGATTAAAATCTCTAAGGGAAAAATAATAAGTAACATATAAATGCAGAACAACTAGAATAACACCTGACTTCTCAGTAGAAACTCTAAAAGCCAGAAGGGCTGTGGGACAGTGGACAGTGCCAGGAAACTTGGTAAGGTTGAGCGGGTTCAGAGACCATGACACCCAGGCACCCACCTGAGACAGGTGTCTCTCTGCTCCCTAACAGATTCCTGGCCCAGAACATGTGACCCCCCCCCACCTACATCAGTTACTTAGCCCAGAACAGAGTTCTCCATGTTAATGAGATATCTAGTGGCTCTGAGTGTTTAGCCAATAAGCTTCCCTTCCCTGACATTCCTTCCTATAAAAATCCACCCTGAGAAGGTGGTATGCACCCATTTTCCACAATGAATAGTTAATAAATGGTATGGATAAACATGGACTGTCTCTTTCATCAAGAACCACCATGGGGAAGATGGAGAAGGCCCTTTTGCACTCCCAGACAACCACTGCTAAGCTAAGAAATTTCATCAATGAACTAAACTGCAGTTCCCCTCCCCTTGGCCTGGGGCTCATCCTTAGCCCACTGGCCCACTCTATTCCTAACTCCCTAGCATCTAGATGTCCATGAGTTTGGGAGCCCCTGGCCCTGGGCTAATCCATGCAGTTTCCAGTGGCAACTTGTCACCTAGGAGCTTGGGAACTCCAGCTTCAACCTCCCATATCCTGGGCTGTGTTTTCCCACTCCCTGAGCAGTGTATTGGTACTTCTCTAAATCCAAGCACCTGGTGGCAGAGGTGGAAGGACCTGCAAAGATGTTCTACAAATTCTGAGAGACCTCAGATGCCAGTCGAGATTATTATACCCACCAAAGCTAACAATCACAATTGACAGAGAAAGAAAAACATTCCACAATAAAACCATATTTAAGCAATATCTCTCTACCAATCCAGTTCTATAGAAGGCACTAAAAGGAAAGCTTTAGTCTGAGGATAACAACAGAATTGGCAAATGCCAGGACAAAAATAAAAGCAGGGAGAAAGAAGCACATGCAATGACAACAAAATAGCAGGAATCAATAAACACTAGTCATTGATAATGCCCAATATTAATAGACTCAGTTCCTCAAAAAAAAAAAAAACACAGATAAATGGATTGGATTAGAAAATGGGATTTATCCCTCTGCCACAGACAAGAAATACACCTTAATATCAAGGATAGACATCACCTCAGGGCAGGCATAGCCATTTTAATACACAAAACAGACTTCAAATAAAAACTAATCACAAGAGATAGGGAAGGACACTACATACTTATTAACAGAAAAAGTCCCCTAAAGGATGATAAACTTGCATGCACCAAACATGGGGTACCCAAGTTCATAAAAGAAACTACTACAGCTTTAATCACATATGGACCCTCATGTGCTGATAGTGGGAAATAGCAGTACTCCATTCTTGCCAACAGCAAGGTCATCAAGGCATCACTAAACAGAAACATGCTAGAGATAACTAACATCATACATCAAGTATAACAGATATTACAGAACATTTCACCCAGAAACAAAAGAACATGATTTCTTTTCTGCAGCTCATGTAACTTTCTTCAAATTGAAAACATCAAAAAGATTATCCACCCTGAGATTCATCCAAGAGACACAGGGATAGTCAGCATACCTTAATCAATAAACATAATCCACTACAGGAACAGATTGAAAGGGAATGATAATATGATTATTTCACTAGATGCAGAAAGGGCCTTTGACAAAAACCAACAGCCCTTATGATAAAAAAAAATCTAAAAACTCCATCAGGAAATTTTTACGGCTGATAAACACTTTTAGCAAAGTAGCTGGATATAGAGTTACTACACAAAACTCAGAAGCCTTACAATATACAAATGACAAAAAAAGAAAAAAACAGAGAAAGAAATCTGAGGAGCAGTAAATTTCACAGTAGCCTCAAATATATGTATACCTTGGAATAACATTAAAAAAAAAACAAGCAAGGACTTGCATAATAAAAACTTTAGGACATTGAAGAAAGAAATTGAAGAAGATATCATAATATAAAAAGATCTCCCATGTTCATGGGTTGATAAGATTAATATTGTGAAAATGACTATTCTACCAAATGCATTTTTACAGATTTAACACAATCCCCATCAAAATTACAGTCCAACTCTTCACAGAAATTAAACCACTTTTAGCTTTATATGGAAACACATATGCATAGCTAAGACAATCCTGAATAATAAAATAATGTCTGCAGGTATCACTCTCCAAGATTTCACGTTGTAGTACAAAGCTATAAGTAATAAAAACAATATTGTATTGGGATAAAAACAGACATGTTGATTAACAGTATCAAATTGAAATGCAAATACAAATCCACAGACCTATGAACACCTTATTTTTGACAAAAAAAAAAGTCAAAAAGGCACGCTGAAGGAAAAGCAGCATCTTAAGCAAATGGTGCTGGTCAGATGGCTGCATGTGGAAAAATGCAAAAAGATCAATGTTTGTCATCCTGTACGAAACTCAACTCCAAATGGACCAAGAACCCAAACATAAGACCAGATAAACTGAATCTGATAGAAAAGAAAGTGGGACGTAGTCTTGAACTCATTTGCACAGGGAAGGTCTTTCTGAGCAGGGCACAGATAGCACAAACACTAAGACCAACAACTAATAAATGCAACTTCATGAAGCTAAGACTCTGTATGGCAAATAGTAGACACCATCTTTCAGGTAAAGTAGCAGCCTACAGAAAGGGAAAAGGTCTTTACAAATTATGCACACCTGACAGAGTTAGTATCTTAATTGTATAAAGAACTAAAAAACTGATCACGGAGGAAAAAAATAACCAAATTTTAAAATAAGGTAGAGAACTAACCAAAGAGTTCGCAAAGATGAAATGCAAATGGCTGAGAAACACATTTTGAACATTCTTAGTCATCAGAGAAATGTAAATTAACAGTACTTTGAGATTTCCCTTTTCACTAGCCAGAATGGTCAATATTGGCAAAACAAATGACCACACATGTTGGCAAGGATGTGGGAGAAGAGAACCCCTCCTCCATTGCCGGCAGAAGTGCAAACTTGTTTGCCACTATGGAAATCAGTGGTGTGGCAGTTTCTCAGGAAGCTGGGCATAAATCTACCTAAAGATCTGCTATGCTACTCTTGGGCATATATCCAAAGGAGGCTTCATCCCACATCAGAGATATTTAACCCCATCATTCAAACCAGTGCATAGCGGAACGGTAGGGTGTGGGGATGGAATGAGAATGTCTGTTAATGGATCTAGAAAGTCTCTGAGTTCAGCATTGATTTACAGTAAAGCTAATGCTTCAGAAGCAAAAAAAAAAAAAAAAAAAAAAAAAATATGTGCCCTTCTTGGAAATAAGGAACCTCTGACTATTTAAATTTAAAACCAGACCTTCTGCTTGGGTAAAATAGCAGTGCTGGCGATTTGACATATGCACTCACCTTGTGAAAACTCCTCCTTGCAAGCAATGAAGTAGAAGAAAAGAATGTTCATTTTCTTGTCCTGCTTTCTCTAAGTCAGCCTTCAACCATGAGTAGCTAAAACAATGGACTATGAGTGTTCCAAAAAGCACAAAGCCCAAGGTTAAAACACCAAAACCATATTGTCCATTGTGGAAGTACCTAACAGATAGGACAATGTCCGCAACTAGATCAGTTACATAGGTTATAATGCCCAAAACTGACATCATAAAATTGCATTTGGTATAGTTCATTATGAAGGACTGTGGCTCTTGCCTCTTTTTCAGATTCAAAAATAGGGGGGAAAATGCCACAGTGGATACTAGTGTATCCTTTGGGTTACCATCGGATTGTAGTTTCTACTCTGAGTCTACTTAGTAAAAGGAATATGATGATACAGTTCAGTGACAGTGTTTCGCTAACATTCACAAATTCCTGTATTCAGTCCCTAGAACCAAAAATAAATAAATAAATAGTATGAAGTTGAAACACTGAAACAAAAGTAAATAACTTTAACTTCCTTTAAAAAAAAAAAAACTCTACTCCAGATCCAGTGGTACAAGAGGGCCTTGCTGTATCTTCTCCTCTGCCGTGATCTTCATTACAGGCAATGATGTCTAAAACAGAACAAAACCATGTTGTTAACTCTTAAATATGAAAAAGCCTGGCCCATGGTGTTACCAAGATCCTGTGTTTCTAAATATAATATCTGCACTAAATATACCTTTTTTTTTTTTGGTTTCTTGAGACAGGGTTTCTTTGTATAGCCCTGGTTGTCCTGGAACTCACTCTGTAGACCAGGCTGGCCTCAAACTCAGAAATCCGCCTGCCTCAGCCTCCCAAGTCTAAATATACTTCTTACATTTGGAAAAGTTGAGTCTCAAAAATATAATCATTGTTGATAATGTCATCCCAAACTCAAGTACTTATCATTTAAAGCTATGTCTTCTCATGGGATATTTATTACAGGACCATTTCTATGGGCCAAAAACAGACATGCAAACAACTTAAATGTTACCTGATTCCAAATCACACCACAGAGCCATAGTAGCAAAGGCACACATCCCTGACACATAAACATATGTATATACCAATGGGTCAGATTAGAGGACAAGAAATAAGCCCATACAGCCACAGCAGTTGGATCCTTCACAAGTGCCAAAAGCATGCATGAGGGAAAAGACAGCCTATTCAAGTCATGGTGCCGGGGGTCTGGATATCCACATATAGAAGAATAAAATTAGATTCCTATCTCTCACCTACAAATATCAGTTAGAAATTAATCAAAGGCCTTAATGGAAGGCTTGAAACTTTAAAACAAATAGAGCTTAGGAGGAAAAACTGAAAATACTGTCACAGACAAGGACTCTGTATAAAGGATTCCAAAAACTCCAGAAATAATAGCAAGAATTGACAAATAGCCATTCAGATTGTCACCTAGAAAAGAAATATAGACAGACAGATAGAAAGATAGAAAGATAGAAAGATAGAAAGAAAGATAGACAGATAGATAGATAGATAGATGTATATTTCTAAACACTGAAAAAACAAATTATCTAACCAATGAACAAATGATTTGAACAGATATCTCTCAAAATATCAAATAAAACTAGTCAATAAACATTTTAAATATGTTTAGTTAAGGAAACATTCATCAAAACTACATTGACAGGTTAGAGAGAGAACTCAGCCAATAAGAGCATGTATGGTGCTCCAGCAGAGGACCTGAGTTTGATTCCCAACACTCATATCAGGCAACTGGCAACTACTTGACAACTGCAGTTCCAGGAGATTTAATACTCTTACTTCATGGAACACATTTCAGATTTGTGTAAACATATCTACACACACACACACACACACACACACACACACACACGCATACATATAATAAAAGTAAAGAATAGATCTACATTGTGAGTCCACCTCACTCAATCAGAGCATTAAATCATCAGGTATTCAAGCAATAGATAATACTGGTGAGGATGTGGCATGAAAGAATGCTTTATATACTGTGAGTATGGATATAAACTTCTGAAGTCACCACAGAAATCAGTATGGAAGTATGCTGATACCTCATTTAAGTATCAGCATAGACGTCTACCAATCATCAAATTGATAAAGAAGATGTGGAATTAGCTATTCAAAAGTTGCCATTTGCAAGAAAATTAGTGATGTTGCAGATTATCATGTTAAATTAAAGCAGCCTAAGAAAACAAATATTGCATGCTTTCTCTCACGTGCAGAATCCAGACATTAAAACAATGCTCGAAAGCAAATGCTCTATTGAGAGAGAGAAAGGACAGTAGAAGAGGTGAGGCAGAAAAAGGAAGTATTTATGGGAGTGAGTTAGATCCACATATATGATACGCATGCATAAGAACAGCACTAATGTAATTTCTGTAAATGAGAGACAACTATTGATTTCTAATTGCATTAGGTCATTTTTATGCCCACATGCGCTTATCTGAAATAAGTAGACTGGAAGACAGAGTATCAGATATTTTCATTCTTCCTATTGTTAAAAATAATCCTCTCTAAGGTATCATTTCTTTATAATAAATATAATAAATTTATAATATGTGATATATAATATACTTTAATAAATATAATATAATAAAGACTATTAAAAGGTACCAAAATACATTTAACAACAGCATCATAGCTATATAGATTTTTAATATCCATTTACCTAGAAGTTCCACACAGGATTCCAACCTAGGGTTATGTTTATAAATAGGCAGAGTGATACGTGCTCTTGTATAACAATAAAACTGGAAAGCCACCTAAATGAGAGCCTTGGTTCAATAACTGTGACTTATTTATAGTCAGATGATGCAGTCTTAAAGAAGAACTTCATTTGAGATGTTAGGATAGGGATACAGCAAAGAAACCACCATCTGTAATTAAAGAGAGAGAGCATCTCCAGAAAGCACCCACGCCAGCACCTTGACCCTGGACTCTGGTCTCTAAAACTGTGATAAAAAGAACTGAAATCTGATGAGTCTGTGGTGTTTCTACCTGTGGACCACAGGAGCTGGCATGCTGTTCTCTATAAAGAACACTCAGTCTCTCAAAGCCGGGTAGGGAAGGATTACAAAAACCCACACATGCAAACTGCTGCCTACTGCTCTATGTCCTTTTTCAATTTATAAATATTTTGCTTAAGAGTCTACAGAATAGCCAGGCGGTGGTGGCGCACGCCTTTAATCCCAGCACTTGGGAGGCAGAGACAGGTGGATTTCTGAGTTCGAGGCCAGCCTGGTCTACAGAGTGAGTTCCAGGACAGCCTGGGCTACACAGAGAAACCCTGTCTCGAAAAAAAACAAACAAAAAAAAGAGTCTACAGAATAATCCTAGATGGTATGATATTTTACTCTACCTATGAGACATGAGTAAAATTCTTTAATTCATTTTCCAGACTCTTCCAGTAGAACTATAATCAGCTAATTTCAGAATATTCAAACCAAAATACAATAGTTGAACTGAAATTTCACTTAGAACTTCTAATGTAAGTAATTTACTCAAAGTTATAGGCTATTATACCCAAGGAGTCTGTGTATATATTTATCAATTCATCCATAAAAAGAACTTCCTTTGCCTGGCATGATTAAGTAAAACCCCAGCAGGTTTTGACTAACATTTCACAAGGTAGAGTCTTTCCTAAGAAACAGAAATTGTATTATTACCAGAACATTTGACTTAATAGATTTGTTAACATTACAATGTCAGCATTCTTGATTTGGTCGGACAGAACAGAATTCCAACAGGAAGTAAGTCCACACAGTAAGCAATATAGCTATCATACAGATACCACACAACTCTCCGAATAAGTACCATTTTATAACTTGTATTACAGATAGTTCATCTTTACCTCTACAGTTGATCACTGTTCCAATACCACCCAAGTTAAAATAACACCATTTACAAAATGTGGCTTCTACTCACGGACTTAGTAAGACAGTTCAATGCATTCCATTGAGAGAGCAGCCCAGCTATATGGCTAGCTGGCTGCCAGCCAAAATATATAATCTTTGCCCTGGTACATGATCGTTCTGCAATAAAACAGATATTTTAAAGAAAATAAAACTGTGAAAGTATTATTTAATCAGCCAAACAATTCATGAAAAACTAGACTTACTTGTGACAAATATAAAAGCCTTCTTTAACTCAATGTCTCTTCTTGGAAATCTTCAGCTTATGAATTTTATTTCTTCACCGTCAACTCTTTAGGATCAAATACTAAAATGAAACTGAAGTCACCTGTTAGTCACATGTCCTCTCTATCTGTTGATAGGAGTCTCTACAACTCAATGATAGTGGTAGTGTACCTTTTACAACCATCGCTGAGACAAAGCATGCTTCCTTCTCTATGGTTAAACACCAACCTTTAATATATTTACTATTTAATAGTTAAGAAAATATAATTGAGAGATTGTGTCCTGTTCACAGCAGCTTCAAAATAAAATAATAAAATACCTGGAAGCAAGCCTGACCAAGGAACTAAAACTGAATGAACTCTACAATAAAGACACTAAGACACAGAGGATGGGCAAAGTGTTCATTCTCATTGATAGGCAGATCTAATTGTGGAAATGGCTATAGTAACCAAAAATGATCTACAAAGTCAATGTACTCCAATCCAAGGCCCAATGGCCTCTCCACAGAATTAGGTAAAAGTCCTAAAATTCACATAGAAGCAAGGGGGGGGGACATACAGTTAAAACAAAAGGAATGATGCTACAGTTATCACAATATCAAATTATATCAGAGTCATAATAGTAACACACACAGTGCAGTGTGAGCACAAAAACAAGCATGCAGACCAATGATAGAGTAACCTCAAAATAAACCCACAGTTACAGTATAACTTGGAGAGAAGACAGTCAGTCTCTTTAACAATGGCGCTGAGCCGGCAGTGGTGGAGCAACACCTTTAATCCCAGCACTCAGGAGGCTGAAGCAGGCAGATTTCTGAATTCGAGGCCAGCCTGGTCCACAGAGTGAGTTTCAGGACAGTCAAAACTACACAGAGAAACTCTGTCTTGGGGGGAATATTGGTGCTGAGAAAACTGGATTTCCACAAGTAGACTCGTGAAACTATTAAGTCTTCAACTCTGGAACTCAAAGATAAATGGTTAAGTACCAATCTATTACAAGATACGGCTAGCATACTCCACCCTCTACCCTGAACGCTCCAGCCCAGAGGTACCCTTCCCCCAGAGGCGCTTTCACACACACACACACACACACACACTCACACACTCCAGACACTTTGGTTACTTGCCCTCTTTTGTACTTTTGGCCTTCTGACTGCTGCAGCTGGTTCCCGTCTCTTCCCTCTCCCGCCTCCTAAGTCCACACATCACGGGCATATTTGCATGTTTTTATTAGTTACTTTTATATTGCTGCAGTTAGACATCATGACCAAGGCAAGTTATAAAAGAAGGTACTTAATTGGACTTACAGTTTCAGAAGGTTAAAGTCTATGATGTCAGAGGAAGGGAGTAGCTGCAGGTGGCAGGGGCAGCAAGCTAAGAGTTCACATCTCAGTCCACAAGCAGGAGGCAGAGAAACTGATAATGACATGAGTCTTTTGAACCTTCCAAGTCCAACCCCAGTGACACACCTACAACAACAAGGCTATGTCTTCTAATCCTTCCCAAACAATTCCACCAACCTGGGGCCAGGTATTCACACATGTAAGCCTGTGAAGGCAGTGCTCATTCAAATCACCACATGGTACTTCCAGGGCCTCATGGGCTCCCACCATATCTTAATGCAAATGTATCTAGGCCAACTTGAAGAATTGCCATAGTCTTTCATAGTCTCAGATACTGTTTAAAAGTCAAAATCCAAAGTTCAACATCTCTTCTGAGACTCTGTAAGGTCAAAAGGCAAAAGAAAATTACATACAGATTACAATACAGGATACACACTATATACAACATTATATACAAAATTATATACAACAAGGGAGGGGCTGGTGCACAGTAAGTGACCCAGAGGTACTGGGTCAAAGGAAGACCAAATCCTAGCAGGGAACACTCCAAGTCCTGTATGCCAGGTGTCAAGGGGCTTAGAACACTGTCTCTCCAGTTTTGTTACTAGCAATGTACTTTTCTCTCTTGGGCTGGTTCCACTACCTGGCTACAGCTGCTTTGACAGATGTCTTCAACATCTTGAGGATCTCCAAGGATCTCAATTGCCTTTCAGAACCTTCATGCAGGGACTCCTATGCCGCTGACTTGGCCTCAGCATCTCTCTGAAAACATGGAGGAAGACTCAAACGGCAACCTTGGCTGACACTGCCAAGGTTGGCTGCCAAACTGGGGAGAACCCATGATTCCCTCGAATCATGTTTGCAGCAGCTTTGATCAGCTGTTGCTTTTTAGGAGCAGAAAACTCCTTCGGCCTTTTCCTTTTACAAATGAGGCTTAGCCAGGGCTTCTTGCCCTGAGGGCACCCTCCCTTTCCTCTAATAGGAAATTTCCTGGTGCTCTTTTTCTCTTCAAACTGTCTATTTTGTGTGTCGTTTTCGCCTCACTTTCTTTTTTCATTGTAGACTTACTGTGATGATTTGCATATGCTCGGCCCACGGAGTGGCACTATTAGAAGGTGTGGCCCTGTTGGAGGAAGTGTGTCACTGTGGGTGTGGTCTTTAAGTTCCTCATCCTAGATGCCTGGAAGCCAGTGTTCTACTAGCAGCCTTCAGATGAAGATGTAGAATTCTCAGCTCCTGAACCATGCCTGCCTGGATGCTGCCATGCTCCCACCTTGATGACACTGGACTGAACCTCTGAACCTTTAAGCCAGCCCCAATTAAATGTTGTCCACTAGTTTTCAATTTAGCTTTATTTTTAGGAAGAGGGCAGAAATCAGACACATTCTTTGCCAAAATCACAAGAGTTGATAGCCCAGATTCTAATACTGTTCCCTTCCGTTTTGAGCTGGAGCTCCATGTGTAACCCACATCACTGTCTTCTAAACGCCTACCAAATTGCCCATTAAGCTCTGCTTGTGGTATTCAACCAGATTTCTACCCCAACGTCCCAGAGCGTCACACAAAACAACAGTCTTCTAAAAAACAGCACAGCAGTAGCTTACTTCAGTATTATAAGCTGCATTTCTATTGCTATGATGCAGAACCATGACCAAAGCAACTTATAAAATGTTTATTTGAGTTACATTTCCAGACAGAGTCCATGATGGTGAACCAAAAGCATGGTGACAAGCGGCTAGGGTGGCAGCTGCGAGCTTAAAACTCAGCACACAAGCAAGAGGCAGAAAAAAACTAACTCAAAGCAACACAAATCTTCTGAAACCTCAAAGCTCAAGCCCAACAACATGCCTCCTCCAGCAAGGCCACACCTCCTAGTCCTTCACCAATAGTTCCACCAAGTGGCCGGAAACAGTTTCTCCTGTACAAAGCAGTGATTATACAAGTATGGCAGCATGCTGACATGCTTATTCTTTACATGTTACCCTTAGAGACCTCAACATTTGTTCTAAAGCTTTCAACATTTTAGGACTTCTATATCTCTGGGACAGAAAACCATGGCAGGAAGAGCAGGTCGAGACCCAGAGACTCAGTGGGCACACACCTGAGGCTTAAGTGACTCCCGGGTCCCTGCCAGACTCCTGGCCTGGAACACACATGCCATGCTTCTCACATAAAAGAAATGTGTCCTATGTTCATGTAAGCCCAAAACAGAGTTCTCCATGCTAATGAGGTACCTGGAGACCCAGAGGGCTTATCCAATAAGCTTCCCTTCCCAGACGTTCCTCCCTCCAAAAGCATTTAATCTCAATCCCACCCTGAGTAATGGGATATGGTTTTATGCATTCATTTTCCGCGATGACAATAAACTGTTTAGAACCATGGACTGTCTCTTTCATCAAGATCTGCCATGGTAAGCCATGAAGAAAGCATTCACCTACATAGCCACAACTTAATATTCCTGCAGAAGGCCTCTCTGTGCTTCCAGCCACAACTGTCATGAAGCCTGCCTCTGCCAAGCTAAGGACAATCACCCATGGGACAAGCTGGATTCCCCCTCCCTTCTTCCCACTCCCGCCCTGGGTTACACACTTTCCCCAACCCTGTGGGCTCCCAACTCCATTTTTGCCCCTTCCGTGACTCCCAGTAGTGTCTGGATGTCCAAGAGCCTGACAACCCCACAGCCCCTGCCTCATGATAGGCTCAGAAACCCCTGAAGCAGTTCCAGGTTTTCCACATCTCAGACTGTGGTTTCCCACACCTGGAACAGTGTCTCAGTGCTTCCCTGCAGCCTGGCACCCACCCCCAGCAGCTGTAAGCACAGTCAAACTCCCCAAGAGGCCATGCATAGCAGACACAGACCGACATATATCCATAGGCTCCATTCAAGTAGCCATGCCAGCCCATACTTCACAGAGAAAGACAGCCTCACTGGGTTTCTCCCAGACTGTCCACCCAGATTTTTCTTCTGCATAGTGAATTCAGTCTTGGTTGTGTGCTTCAGCATTTGCTGGAGGAGTCATATAACCATTGACACAGCAATAGGACACACTATTCCATACAGTGTGTGAAAAGGCCACCATTTTGAGAGTCTTCCTGTGGGCACTCCAGGCCCTGATCTCTCAGCCTTAGCTGCATATCTCATTGCCTGTAGCAAAACCATGTGACCATGGGTGATATAGTCCAGGGGTATTGATTCAGTTTGTTTTCTCCAGAAGTTATCAAATTAAAAGGCAAGAAAATCTGAAGTGCTACAGGTGGCAAGAGACAGACCTCAGACACCACAAACAGAATCAGCAGCTAGAGAAAGGTTTGTTGGAGTGTGAGAAAACACACATGCAGTAGACCCACAGAGCAGAGGGGAGACTCAGAAGGCCGAAACGTCCCATCTCTCTTGAGGGCACGGCCTTTAAAGCCTCTCAAGAGCTTTCCTCCCCTAATCCAGGAGTGGTCAGTCTGAAAACAGATATGATAGTTGATTGGTCCAGAACTGTTGTGTGACATGTCCTGATACAGCCTTAAACTTGTTGAGCCAGTCCATCAGCTGGGATCTGCTGGTGGGAGACAAATTCCTACAAAGCATTGTTTTCAGTTGCCAGGCTTTTGTCTCAAGTCAGAAAGGTGAGGTAGAAGCCAGCCATCTTGGAAATTCACCACCTCTTTTCCCTAGCCATGGCTCCTCTCCCTTTGTGTCTGCCTACCAGGGAGTCTGGCCTACTCCTAGTCTCTCGGTAGCATAGCTAAAGGCACATTAAGACACACCATATAGAAAGGACAGCTGTATTGGAGCTTCCTCTGTAGATGCTCTCCACTCAAGCTGCTCAGCGTCATTTACATGCTGCTACTCTATAGCCAAGGCTATGCCTCCTCAACTCATCTTTGGTTATGTCAGGTCACTGGTCCAGAGAAAAGTGCTGTGTCAGAGACTTTTCCTAGGGAGTCACAACACAATAGTCCAGAGTAACAACCACATCACATCAATGTCCAACTTGATGAACCAATGAGGTTTTGTTGTTGTTGTTGTTGTTGTTTCTTATTTGTTTTAACTGGGCATCAGTAAGAGGTTACTTATACAAAGCAGGGATGACTCCAAAGTAACTGCACCGACAGAAAGCCCACCTCAACAGGGGGATGACTCTGACCTGCCAATCTCAAAAAAAGATGTTTGGACTTTAAGGCTACCGACAAGCTATGCGGAGAGGATGTTTGCTATGAATAAATATTGGTGGGATGAAAACAAGTGACATAAATGAGTCCATGGATACTCGAAGGACTTTTTAAAGGATACATTCATTGTACATCACAAAAATAAATGACATGTGATAATTTCAATAGCACTTTTCAAATGAAGTTCCTGTGACACAAGCAGAAACTTCTCACATGCAGCAAATATGTTATTTCAACTACTCTGAAATGTTGAACTGTTCACTTGTGAAGCCATTTCTTCTGTAAAGAGTAAGTGATTTAAAAGGACTCTCCTAGAGCAACAATACCAACCAACCAGAGCTCCCAGGGTCTAAACCACCAGCCTGGGAACACATAGGGAGGGACCCATGGCCCCAGCTGTATACATAAGGGAGGATGGCCTTATCAGGCATAGGTGGGTGGGGAAGTCCTTGGTCCAGTGAAGGCTGGACGCCCCAGTGTGGGGGAAATCGTGAGTGGGGAGGTGGGAGTGGGAGGGTGGGTGGGAGCACATCCTCATAAAAGCAGGAAGAGGGGAGATGGGATGGGGGTTCCTGGGTGGGGGGGAGGGGAATGGGGAAAGCGGATTACATCTGAAATGTAAATAAAATATCCAATAAAAAAATTTTTTAAAAAGCACTCTCCTAAAAAGTCAGACCAGAATATCAGAAGTATCAATTGCTCAATTATTCCTAAAAGGAGTAAGCTAAGGTATATATATATATATACTTTTGTTGTATATATTCATCATAATTTTGATGGCGATCATAGGATCTGTGCATTTTCTTATAAGTAATTTATAACTCAAAGTTTTAAAGTGGAAAGCAATGGTTAATACTTGCTGATTGGAAAAGACAGAGCATTACATCACTTTCATCTTGGACACTAAACCAACCTATTTCCCTTGGCAAGAGTAGGCTAGAGAGGAAGATAAACAAGCTCCTCCAGTCTGCACAGATAGGCTCATGTGTTCATGCAAAACAAGTAGAAACAGAGGCCAAAGAGAGCTTTGTTCTCCCAAACTCCATTTTACATTTATAAAATGGGGGAAATTGTGCCTGTTAAGGACTCCATGGGATTTTAGGAGTTGACAATTGATGGGGGTTGGGGAGATAGATCAGTTAGTAAAGCGCTTGCCTTATAAACATGGCACCTAAGTTTGATCCCCCAGAAGCTGTGTAAAAACGTGGGGCATGGTGTCTCATTTTTCTAATGCCTGTCAACAGCTGGCCAGTCTGGCCTGAGTGGCGAGTCCACACTGGTAAAGGGTATATGCACTTCCTGAGGTAACACTTGAAGTTGTCAGGTTGTCCTCTGCCCTCCTCAGGTATGCAGTCACATTTTTTCTTTCTTTTTTCTTTCCTTTTTTTTTCTTCCTGTTGTTGAGGATTAAAAAAGGAATGTTGGCAGGTGGCCCTTGGCAAGAAGCAAGCAGGTACAAGTAACACTGGTTGCATCCTTTATTTTGAAAGGTAAGCTGTTCTTCAAATCACTGGCCTGCCATTCCTTCCCAGGTTGGTGACTCAGTAACTACCCGCATACCTGCTATGCTTATGACCCTCCCTCCCCTATCCCTGAAGGTTAACTTTACAGGAAGTGATGTCACTCATCCTTATTGGATATGCTCCGTTACTGGCGAACAAGGTCCACAGACACACGAGACTCTGCGACAGAGCCGGCTTAGTCTGGTACGGGCTGGTCAGGCCACGTCAGGCCACCTCACGCCACAGTCACAGTGAACACAATCCCACCCCCACCGCCCCCCTTGGCTGCCGCGCAGGCGGGTGGGTCACCCGATGGCGGCTGCCAATCCACTCCCGGCCTCTGCGCGACGTCTCACGTGATCCGAGCCAGGCATAATGTCACGTGACCGCCGCCCTGCCCTCCGGGCCTGGGGCCGCTGCGCGCCTTGTGACTTAGAATTTAGTCGCCTGCGGTCACCGAGGTAGCGATGGCTGCCGTTCTGCAGCGCATCGAGCAGCTGTCCAGTCGAGTGGTGCGCGTGTTGGGCTGTAACCCGGGTCCCATGACCCTACAAGGCACCAACACGTACCTGGTGGGGACCGGCAGCAGGTAAACGCCACCTCCGACCCCGGCAGCTCACACCCTCGCGTGTCAGGGAGGCAGCGAGAGGCCAGGCGAGCCCCCCAGCGCGTCCCCGAGCTCCGCGGAGGACAGGGAGCATAAGAAAAGCACAGGCTTCCCAGGTCTGAATCCCGGTTTACTCGCTGTCTGGCTGCCCGCAGGTGATGACCCAGTGAGTTTACGGGAGCCTGTGTGTTGGTGCACACCTGAAATCCAGTGTTAGGAACGCAGAGGCAGGGATTCGCCCCAAGTTCGAGGCTATCCTAGTCTATATAACCAATTTCAGGCTTGGTGAGTCATATAGCAAGGCCCTTAGTTCCAGAACCCCCGAAAGTTTACAGCATTTGCTTCTTTGATTTTGTCTTGCCCAGAGCCTCCCGTCGTGAAAGCTATTGACTATACAGAATCCAGTCTCTTACAGTAGAGGGCAGAATTTGCTTCCAGTTCAACCCGAGTCTAAAATCAAAAGAGGAACCCAGCCTGTGGGTAGGAGAAACGAACTCGTTTTTGCTTTTTCTTCTAATCGTGTATGACAAACATAGCTTGTTTGCATTTAAAGTCCCTATTACATTTACCCTAGAGTAAGGGACATTTACAAGCATTTGACTAATGGAAGTATTCCAAGTAGACATAAAAGGCTAAGCCCTGCGTGAATAAGGCCAGGGTGAAGTACAGGACCTTTAGGCTTCCTGCACACGTCAGCAACAGAGTGCCTAACCTCTTGTATAGTCTGAGCTGCTCTCCCTCAGCCCAGAGCAATCTCGTCACTGTGTCATTTTAAACTCATTCTGATGTCAGCGCCTAAATTGCAGATAGTCTGAATAACCTTGGAGAATGCTCTGCTGGAGATTACTGGATAGTCCCAGTAAATTCAACACAGCCTGCTTTTCTTCGAGGGTTAAAATATATGGCTGCTTTCTGTGAAATCTCGATGAAGTTATTAAGATGAAGTTACTAAGCACAAATGTCCAATGGAATCACATATCCTACTTAAGTGATAATTTTGTTTTTTATTTATATTTTATGGGATATTTAAATAAGTAATGGTAAAATAATTAATGTGCAGATGATGCTACTCAAACTAAAGGGTGATTAGAAACAAATATTAACTGGCTCCAAATCAGATGTTCCAAGACTTGTGTCCACTGTTCCACCTCACAAAAAGTCTAAGGTTATAGGTGGTGCTGTATCGTTGAATTCAATACCACTTTTATACTTCTGTTTCTGCTAACTTTGGGGCTCACTGGCCAGCCCCTCCTTGCTAACACAGTACACTCTCTAGCTGCTCTCCTCTCATTCTCCGTCCTTATCAGAGCTTTGGACTCCTCTAAATGCAATCCCAACTTCATGTTATTCAATTACACGTGCGTGCGTGTGTGTGTGTGTGTGTGTGTGTGTGTGTGTGTGTGTGCGAGTGTGTGTGTGCACTTGAGCGCCAGTGTGTGCATGTGTATGTGCGCACGTGTGCGAATGTGTGTCTATGTGTGAGTGTGTATTTGTGTTTGTGTGTGTGTCTGTGTGCAAGTGTGTGTTTGTAAGCACATCGTGCATGTGTGTGTCTGTGAGTGTGGGTGTGTGTGTGTGTGCGTGTGTGTGTGTCTGTGTGAGTGTGGGTATATGTGCGTGTGCATGTGCGTGTGTGTGTGTGTTCAAGCACAACACATTCTTCTCACCCTGATAATCCTGAGGATTAGACTCTGGTTGTCTGACTTGACAGGAAGCTGAGCCCACTCTCCTGCCTAATCCTGAATTCTTGTGATAAGTAATCATGACTGTCAACTTCATTGAATTTACCTAGAGTATAGGCTTTCAAGAGGGAATTTCAAGAGATGTTTCCCCAAGATAGGAAGCCCTTCCCTGAACAGCAAGAACACATCATGTACTCAAGTCCTAAACTGAATTTTTGAAAAGAAAAGGCAAGTGGAACACCAAGAATCTGTCCCCTCACCCTTTCCACTTCCTGACCGTCCACAAAGTATGACCAGTGGCCACTTCTGCTGCCATAGCTAGAGTGGCCCGTGCCGTCTCACCTTCCCTTTCATAGTGGCCTGTGTCCTCAAACTGACCCAAGGCAGGCTCTTCCTTGGGTTGCTTTTGCTGGGCATTGTATCACAATGATGAAGTTAACACTTGCACTGCCCCGATTTCCACACTCTGTTGTTCAGATGATCATCCCCGATTCCTTGATACGTGTCACCTGTCATCTGTTTATTAATAACATTCAAGTTTAATCAGAAGCTCAGCTTCAATCAGGCTCAGAGCTGGTGGCTTTCTTAACTCTCCTCCATTACCTGTGTTCTTCAGACTGAACCTGCCTGTTCTAAAGTGAAGCGCAGGCCCTCCTGAATTGGTGTGGCCCCTGTCTTGTAAACAAAACCATCCCTGTATTTGAGCAAACAAAACGCCTACACACTCCTTAACATATCTCTTCTCCAGCACACATTCAAGCCATCCTGGAAATGTGGTTTTTGACTACAACTGACCTGTTCAATTCTTGCATAGATGTCTGCACTAGCTTCCTGTCAGACTTAACCCTGCCTCTGCTCTTGCCCCTCAGTCCGTTCTCTCAAAGGTAGCCATCTTGTTCACCCCCGGAGGCTCTGGCCCACCAGTGTCAGCCTTCCTAGTGTCCCAGAGGAGGTATATTTCTCCCTCCAGACTTTAAGTTCTCTTCTGCTTTTTTTCACTTCTCTCGCCCTTTGAGAGCTCACTTGAAATGTCAGTTCCTTGTGAAAGTTGGCCCTGACTTCTTAAACTGTAAATGCACCATAGGTTTCGTGGTATTCATCTCAACAGTAATTTTTTTGTTGTTTTGTTTTGTTTTTGTTTTTTTAAGTTTAAGGTCTGTATATGTATGAAGCCCATTATCTATAAAGCTATTGATTCTACTAACTCAGTTAAGTTTTTCTCTATTCATATAACAGATTATGTGTCTGATATGTTCCAGGCACTGAGTTCACTCCTAGGCCTCTGCAGATCTACCTACAGTGTTCTCTTGAGCCCTTTTTGAATGCGACTTGTATTTATTTGCAAAGAGACCTCCTGAGATAGGGCTATTGTCTATGACTGTAGGCAATGGAGTGACCAATACACTCAGAGATGACTGATCACCACAGTCACTATGCTTGGACATTACACATTGCATGACAAGAACTCGTTTTCTAATCTAGAACTGAAGCTTTATTTATGCCATGAAGAATGATTTCAGTGCTAGCTAAATAAGTGCTGTCCTCCAGAGTCACAGTGAGTAGCTCTGATACTGGCCGTCATTGGACCTTGTATGAGCCTGAGAAACCTAGGATAAGTCACTTAGCCTAGTTTCACTCAATCCTAGTTTCTTTCTCTACAAAATATTATAATAAGTTCCCTAGAGTTGAAATGAAGAGTAAAATGTAATAAATATGTCAGATAGTTTAGTTCTATCTAAATGCTATCTGTATTATATTTTCCCCCTTAATAGTTGTTGAACCTCTTTCTTTTCTCCCCTGGATCTGGATACTGGATACATGGCTCCATTATGGGCAGGCTGTGTTTGAGCCAGGCCTTGGAGAAGCCCTGTGACCCTCTCCAAGCACACTTCCTTTGCCAATCCCAATACTGTTATGCCAGAACTGGTCTTTTAGGCTACTGAAAACAAACAAAAAACCTGCAAAGGCCTGGGAGCCGCTTTCTCAACCTCCAGAGGCTGTTTTTACTCAGACTTTGATCAGCAAAGAGGCAACACGGGCATTCCAGAAGATGTGTGTTCTGTGTTACTAGAGTGTGATAACCCCGTTTATTAGCTCTGTTAATTCTGTTCTAACTTTTGATGACTATGATGTAGTCTGAACTATAACATTTTAAATTCAGTGGTAGATTGTCAGGCATTTGAAAGCTGCTTCTTAGGAGGAGGCCAACACAGTGATTTAACTATGATGATAAGGAACCCATGTGATTTAAAAATTTAGAGCATTCTTGATGCAAGGCATGGAAAGATTCCTTTTAAAGACCTTAAGGCCTTCAAAGACCAAAAATAGTCCAAGTGACGCTAGTTAAAGAGCAGTAAGAATTTGGAATAACATTTTTACACACACCCCACACACACACACACACACACACCACAGAAGACAGCCAAAAAAATTAGGATCATGGCCTAGGGAGTGGGTTTTTTTGGGGGTTGGGGTTTTTGGTTTTTTTTGTTTTTGTTTTGTTTTGTTTGTTTTGTTTTTATTTTTTAGAGACAGGGTTTCTCTGTGTAGCTCTGGCTGTCCTGGAACTCACTCTGAAGACCAGGCTGGCTAAGGGGTGTTTCATGGTATAGTTTTGTGTGTTTTTATTTCAGTGTGACTAAATGTACAGAGCACCAAGCATTGCACAATCCATTCCAAATGTAGAAATAAGCAAACAAGCCTCCTGGGGCTCACGTTTGTAAAGTGGTGAAAGTAAATGAATGTATCACTGTATCTTATGTAGATAATGGGGGTGTCTAGGAATGCCATCAGATTCACTGCCACCCAAGTCAAGGTCACCTCTGAGCCATCCCCTTCGTGTCTCCAGTCTTTACTACCACCTAGAAGTCTCCGAATGATTGACCTTGTCCTTTTTCTGCAGGTCCTACTTATGCCTTCTAAATGTCCTTCAAGCCATTGCAGGCCTTACATTTTCAGCTGGTGGGACCTTATGCCCCCTGAGCCAGCACGCCCATGTGCAGAGGAGTTTACAGTAGTTTTCTGAAGTCCATCCAGCTGTCTCCTCAGTAAAGATGCGCCATAAGGTCACTGTCCTCCCCTATGTATTTCATTGCAAATTCCATCCATGTATGTAACGGTGTGAGCGTATACCACCACATGCATGTAGGGGTCAGAGGACAAGGTAAAGGAGTCAGTTTCCCTTCTACCACTGAGTCCAAGGATTGAACTGAGGTTCTCGGGCTCAGTTGCAAGTGCTTTTACCAGCTGAAACACTTTGCTCACCCAAGATTTTTTTTTTAACTTTATTTTAAAATTATACAAATTAAGCTTACACAAATTTGGGAGCACATGTTTTGATACATACATACATACACTCATATACATATGTACATATATAGCATAATATTTAAGTTAAACTAAAACATTTATCTCCTCAAACACTTAATTTTATAATAAAAACGTTCAAAATCCTTTTGGGTTTTAACATACATATCTCGCTGTTCCTAAAGTCACTCAGCTATACAAGAGCACATGGAAGTTCTTGCTCACAACTCCCTAACTAACTGTACCAGTGCAAGGTGTGTGCTCGTATTGCCTATAGATATCAGAAACAAACCTATCGAGTGTAATATAGCCATCCAGTGATTGTGCAATTCTTCAGGGTGTATGTTGTGTATGTTCCTGTAGGTGTGTGCACATGTACATGCAAGTGTGCGTGCATATATGTAAATGTGGCAGGTATAATCCTCTATTGCTCTTTACCTTACTTTTTAAGACATGGTCTCTCACAACCTGGAACCCACCTTTTTGGCTCCACTGTCTAGCCAGGGAGGCGCGATCGTCCATCTGTGTCCTAGCTGGCCAGTGAGCCCTAGGATCCTGTCTGACTGCTATGGACCCTATCCACTTCTATCAACCCCCCTGCCATCCTCGCTTACCCCTTTCCTCTCTCTAGCAGTGGAGTTATAGGCCAAATCACCGTATGCCTGCCTTTGTCTTGGGTGCTGGGCATCCTGATTCAGGTCCTCATGCTTGAAAAACATGCGTATTACCCTCTGAACTTTCCAAGGGCTCCCCACGTACTCAATTTGGATGCCCTGAGAAAATGCTTTCTGTTAAATGCTATTTCCTTTGTTTTTGGTCCTCCACAGCTACCCCTTCCACCCATCATTGGATAGCAAGCAGAGTTGTTTATATTCCCAAAAGAATGAAAGGCATGACACAGAATAGGTAATCTATAAAAAGTTATAGATGAATAATGAATGAGTCGTGTTTGCCAAGGCTAATCTTGCCATGAAATACCAAGAGTTAAGAAATTCATGGTTGGGCACTGGTGGTGCAGGTCTTTAATCCCAGCAATCAGAAGGCAGAGGCAGGTGGATCTCTTGAGTTCAAGGTCAGCCTGGTCTACAGAGTGAGTTCCCAGACTCCATGGGCTATACAGAGAAACCCTGTCCCAAAAAAAACAAACAAAACAAAGCAACAAAAATAAGTTTGTAAACTGGCTCTTGAGGAAAACGATATCCTAATTCTTTCATTTCAGGAAACAGGGAAAACCCAGTCCTTCAACTGCTGAAGAAAAGTAACAAAAGAACACAATCACAGGCTAGCAATACAAAATTTAAAACTGGCAGGCATAAGTATGTCTTACAGAAATAAACTGGCTCATGTGTTTCCTACATTCTCCCCTTCAGCCCTTTCCCATGGAAGGGTACAGTGTAGTAGTTTACTGTTAGGTCAGCTGCCTAGTACTGCACAGTGTCTGCATTGCCTTGGTCCTTACTACACCTTGGGGTTATTTCTCCCCCGCTGGCATCCATCCCTCCTCTGGCCTTCTTGATGATCTCTTTCTCTTCCTCTGTAGCTCCTTCCCACTTTGTAGCCACATATGTGCATCTAGGTGTGGTGTGTCGGTGTGTGCAGGGGGTATCGGTCCCCCATTAATCTATCTGGCTTACCCCTTCTTCCTCTATAACCTCCTCCTCACCCCTAGATAGTTTCCCACCTATTTTCATGTCCTATTAAGTATTTCTTCATTTATTCTTGTATTTAAATCTAGATTCCCACATAAGAAAACGTGTCTACTGTATGATGCTGTTGCCAAGTTTCTAGTGGTTCCCTGGAATGAGTTTGGTTGTTCCCTCTCAGTTTGAGAAGCGCTGATGTTAACTGTACTTGAAAAGTTTGGAAGAATTCAGCTAGCAAATGTATCCATTGCTGCCCTTCTTCATCTCAACCCAGGAGGGAAGGAGGCACAGTGCCGGCAAAGCCCTTGGAATGTCTGCTGTGCACTCGCAGATCTCCAGTCAGAAGGTCTGCTGCTCAGGCGCAGCTCTCCAGGCTAGCTTCCTCTTTTGTTTGTAGCCCTAGAGCCAGTGAAGGGGAGGGTCTTCATTCTTATACCGGAGCCTATCAGTTCACCTAGAAAGCTAACATTTACTAATTTCTGGACTTCTCTGTTTTCTTACTGTTTACTGTGGCCCTGTCTTGGCTTTCCACAGTTTACATCTCGCTCTTCAGTCATGGCTTGGTGGTTGTTTGTTTGTTTGTTTGTTTTCAGATTTGTGGGGACACATTAGAGCACCATTTGTCTCTCATTTACCATGTTCTGTAGCCGCCGCCGCTGCTGCTGCTGCTGCTCCTTTCTCTTCCTCCTCTTCCTCCTTCCATTGCTTCCTTCCCTAAACCTTCCCACATACCCATCCTCACTGTCCTTCAAATTCATGGTCTCTTTTTTTCACTAATTGTTATAGCATGCATATATGCTATATACACACCTATGTGTTCCTAAATATAATCTGTTCAGTTTGTATTATGTACTTGAATGTGTGTTTTCAGGCTGCTTGGCACTTGACAACCAATTGCTGTTTTCTCCCCTTGAGAAGACCACCTCTCTGTCCCCAGCTTTCTTCACTTGCCTATAGTTATGCTGGGTTAAAGCCTTGTGGGCTTTTCTCATCCAGTTTTCTATGGCTATTGGTATCGTCTTTGTTCAGCCCATATTTGGGTGGATATGTGGGTGAGACTTTATGGGGGTAGCTTCTGATGTTACTAGGAGAAAGTTCTCACAGGGAACTCCCAGGTCCTCTGGCTCTCACGATCTTTCTGCTCTGTCTTCCCCAGTGGTCCCTGAGCCTTGGATGTGGGAATGTCTGGTAGGTGTGTCCAGTGGGGGTAGGCTCTACCGCTCTGTATCTTGATTGGTTGTGCGTTTTTGTAGTGGTCTCCATCTGTTGAAAAGAGAAGTTTCCTTGACGGGAATGTTTGTCTGTGGGTATAAACCTGCTCAACAGAGGGTACCCTGCCTGGAACTGGAAACCTAGCTAAGTGAAGCTATGGTTACTGGAGGAGAATCTACAACCTGTAATTTACTAAACCAGCATGATCCTAGCAATAATAAACATATGTTGTTTCATCCACAAATAAGACCACATTTCTTTAAGGGTGCTGTTAAATTCTAATCCTTGAATTTATAACACATCTGGTAGGCAGAGTTCATACGAGCACACATTCTGGCCTCAGTGTATCAAAGTGAATGCTGGTCCTACCATTTGGTTTTTTTGTTTGTTTGTTTGTTTGTTTGTTTGTTTTTGTTTTTAACTGCAGGGTAACCCAAGGCAAGGTATTTAACCTCTGAACTAAGGACAAAAGGCCTGCCTTAGAGATAGTTTCAAATGCTGCTGTGTTTACTTTCATTGCTACTCGGGTGCTCAAGATCCCCCCGACAGCCAGAGTTCACATTGACATTTAGCTATAATTTCTTTCCAAGAACTTCCTTACAGTAAAATATTGTTTTAAACTGGAGTAATATGTTCAAAGTAAGAGATTACATTTTCTTTAATTTAATGCAAGTTATCCTTGTAAAGGTATGCTAATATGAACTCCGGGTTCCAACTGTGATTGTCTTCCTATAATTTGTAGGAGAATCCTCATTGACACTGGAGAACCATCAGTTCCAGAATATATCAGCTGCTTAAAGCAAGCCTTGGTGGAGTTTGACACAGCAATCCAGGAAATCCTGGTGACTCACTGGCATTCCGATCATTCTGGAGGCATAGTAGACATTTGTAAAAACATCAGTAATGGTAAGCAGAAAACCATGTTTAGCTATGCTTGAGAAATCATTCATAATTTAAGCTTTCAACTATATTGATATATTTTTTAATTGATACATGAATACTGTCAATTTTACCAGAAGTGACATGAGAAACTTTTCTTTCAAATGCTTTCTTCCTTCAGCCAGTGATAAAGCTAAGCTTTAGGCTCGGTGACAACCACAGCTTCAGCCTTTAACAGCTTTGAGCATTTCCTGTTTGTCAGGCACTGTGCTGAACACTTCCCAAGGGTACTGTAAGGTTGATGCTATTAGTGTCTATTCCCAAGGAGATTATCTGAGGCCTTAAGGTAACTTTAAGGCAGCTGCTAAGACATATGGAAATCCAAGCAATATATCAGTATATCCATAGTTTTCTCTCCCTGAAACCTACTTAGTACTGACATCTCTCCTATTCTCTTAACGCCTTTATTCTGCCATCACAGTCCTAGATTGAGACTGCCATTGAACAGTCATTCAGGACCTGCTAAGTGTCAGCTACTGGGTGTGGCTCAGAAACAACAGTCATGAACAAAAGTAGAGCATGCTCCCAGGAGATTCTGTTCATGAACATCCTAAACCAGAGTGCACCAGCCTGATGCCACCACTGGGAGGTTCCATACTGGACCCCACGTGACAGATGACAGTCAAAATACAAACACCCTGAAAGTACTGTATAAAATTACCTTTGGGATTTTCCGAGAGAAAAAAATTCTAGGTTCTATACAAAAGAATACAAAAGAACAAATGTTTGTATAATTACCATTCAGATGATACAAAGAAAGTAAAAGAAAAACTTGACCGCTCTTTATAGCTACTAACATTTTAGTGCTTTCTTGAGAAAGATGTTGCTGTCTGCCCTCCTCGGCCTTAATGAAGCTACAGGAGCTGTGTGCAGACCTGGTGTGGCATTGAGACAGCTCCGAGGCACTCTGCTTCTGCACGGTTTCTTCCCTGCATTCCCCCACGCTACACTCTTACTCCTTTCAGTTGTACTGTAGCTGTCCTGCTTTGTAGTGTTTTACTGTTTAGTTGCTGCTAGAGCAGGTATGGCTCAAGTCATTTTCAGTGCTGGCTACCTGTATTTTTTTATAAGCTACATGTATTTATAGGCCATACTAAAATATATAAATGCCATTTATACAATTTCTTTGGCAATACAGAGTAAATTTGAAGCAATTGATGACAGACTTTTCAAAACCAACCAGTTTAGGGCTGGAGATTTTACTCAGTGGTTAAGAGTGTGTCCTTCCCTTCCAGACAGCATGAGTTTGGTTCCCAGCACCTGTGTCCAGCAGTTCAAAACTGCCTGGAACACTGGCTCCAGGATCAGATGGTGTCTTCTGGCTCCTGTGGACACGACACAAAAGTGGCATACATTCACACAGACACATAGAAAGTAAAAACAAAATCTTTGAATTTCAATAGTCAGTATGGACCACGCCTTTAATCACAGCACTTCGGAGGCAGAGGCAGATGGATCTCTGAGTTCAAGGCCAGCCTGGTCTACAGAGGGAGTTCCAGGACAGCCAGGGCCACACAGAGAAACTCTGTCTCGGAGGAGGGGAGAAGTCAGTATAACTTGTAAATGTTATTTCTCCCTCTGTTCTCAGCACCATTGCCTTAACCTTTATAACGTCCGGGTGGACTGTTGGCAGTCATCCCTTCCAGATTCTGTTTGATCTCCACCCATCCCCACCCCCACTCCCACCACATATAGCTGCCACATTGACAGTCCTGTTAATACTGTCATGGATCTAGTGGCCACAGTGGCCAAGTTTCACACCCGCTCTCCTGTCATCTTACCTACACAAGTGTCTGCTCCTCCCAGACAGCGCTTTCATTAGACAAGATGGCGCGCTGTCACAGCTGCAGTACACACGTTCCCAGACCTCTCCTAATGCTGCTCTGCTCCCTGCCAGCTCTCACCCATACCTTCACCTCCGGGCTTATCCTGTGAGTCATGTCTCAGCTTCTGCCCCATTCCCAGTCCTCTCTTCTAGCTGGGCTGTCTCTTCAGCTCCAGGAAGAGCTCCACTATAGGTCTTTATTCTGTTAGACAGTTTCCCTTCCCCAGCTATGTCCGACTTTTGCTTTTTTCCACTGTAGCTACTGTCCTGGTTAAATGGCTGACACTGCTGAGTGGTAAAGCATTGGTTTTCTTTCTGTCAATGAGGAGTCATGTATGCTAACTTTCAGGGTTAGAGTCTCTGGGAGCCCTTTGAGACTAACAACGCAGGTGGTTGTAGCAGGGTAAATACCGCCATGACTCGTTCACTCTTAAGCAGGCACCTGGAGAAAGGTGCTCACACCCCATCAGACTGTCTCCCCATCACCTCCGGGGTCAAAAGCTAGCTGAGATTATGAAGGACAACTTTATATAAGTACACATATAGAAATGATTAGAAAGTCACAGTGGCTTTTATGTGACTTGAGGGGCATGGAGAAGACAACACCCTGGGGATATGTGAACCAGTTCCATCACAGAGGTACGGGGCTTTGATTCTCTTCTCCTGTCGTCCAGATGCTAGGGTTTTATACAGCCATTGGCGGGTGTTATCTATGTGAGGGCTGGTCTCTTAAAAAGACAAACCATTCAGAGTATGACTTAATATATTTACATGTTTTATGACTAGATGCCACCTATTGTATTAAAAAACTTCAACGGAGTCCTCAGAGAGAAGAAATTATAGGAAATGGAGAACAGCGATATGTATATATAGAAAATGGAGACGTGATTAAGACTGAGGGAGCCACTCTCAGGTGAGTAGGTAGTCCTGACCTACAGCCTGCGTAGACCTACAGCCTGCATAGACAGGTTCAGAAGGAGGATGGAGATGGTTCTGTATGTTTGCATGTATGTGTGAAGAATCATGAGTACAAATGAGATCTGACACATTTAGGAAAGAGGAAAAAAAGGGGTTTGCTCCCCAAAACCAGGAAATGAAGACCCTTCATTCTGTCTACTCTCTTTAATTGTTCTTGGTGGTGTTTAAATTCATACCACTGTTCAGAAATACAAACTTGAGAAGACTAGGCACAGACATGATTGCTCATAGATATGGGAGGCCTAAAGGAGTGTGCCGTGAGTTCAAGACCAGCCTGTGCTACATAATAAGCTCCAGGTTGGCTTGGTTACAGCAGAAGACCCTGTTTCAAAAAAGCAAATTTATTTATTTTAAAAGTTAACATTTCCCCATTGGGTGAATCAGGGATCTACCTGAACCTCAATGTGGTCCTTTTCCAATGTTCTCCCTTCAAAAAAAAAAAGTAAATACTCTTGGGGTCAACCTGTTTCAGAGATAAAGTCTTTCTTGCTCTGATAGTTTGAGAATGAACTAACGATAGTCCTCTGTCTCCTAGTCTGATCTTGCCTTCAATCCCATTGGGACATTAGTCAGGATTAATTTTAAACTTTTAACTGTTTTCCACCATTTCCATTTCCATGACCCCTCATCAAACTCAGTTAAATTTTGCCTCAAAAGTATTTGTCAAAGGCAGCAAGATGCTCAGTGGGTAAAAACGTTTGCTGCCAAGCTTGCTGGTCTGCATTCAGTCACTCAGACTACATAATAGAAGGAGAGAACGGACTCCCAAAAGATGTCCTCCTACCTCCACAGACACTGTGCACCCCAGCACCCACATATGAATAAACATGTAATTAAAAATGATTAAAATGAACACTTGTCTCCAACTGTTACATCCTCGCTAACCGGCTGCCTCCAGCCTTTCCCCTTTCTAGTCTTCCTCATACCTTTGTCACTAGAACCTGTGATGATTCCTGCTAGCCACAAGACGTTCACTGTCCTCACAGTTCCTTGGTCTAGCCCAAAACAATGTTTCTGGTGTTAACTCCATGTACCCCTCTCACAGGCATGATGAACCCGCCTTCGTTTCTATCTTCCCTTTCCCTGGGCTTTGCTCCTTTCCCCAGACTCTTCTCCCTGGAAAACTACTGTTCCCCCAGTTCACCAGTTACATTGAACGCCCTTTCTGAGCAGAATCCCTCCTTTCTCCAGCTCTCATACAATTTTTGCTGCTTCCTTAAAGCACTTTGTGTATGTAAGTAGGTAACTTCTCAGCTCTGACAAGTCACAGTAGTAGTTAATGCCAGTCGCCACATTGGGTCCAAAAAAAGAAAAAAAATCTTCCTGATTTGTGAGTGGCCTCAAGGTGCTCAGCAGGATGGGCATGTGGGTTGCTTTGATCCTGTGATCCCACACTCCTCTGCACTCGGCCTCCAAGGTCCACCCACGGAGCTCAGTACAGCACAAGGAAAAGAACAAGGAGAAGGTTTCCTATAGGAGGTTGGGCCAAGCTTTCTGTTGCATTAGCTATAAATTTAAAGATTTATTCATTTTATTTATGAGTACACTGTAGCTGTCTTCAGACACATCAGAAGAGGGCATCAGATTCTATTACAGATGGTTGTGAGCCACCATGTGGTTGCTGGGAATTGAACTTAGGGCCTCTGGAAGAACAGTCAGTGCTCTTAACCACTGAGCCATCTCTCCAGCCCTTCTATATTTTATTGATTCAATGTGTTTCTTATTCTGTTTGCTAATCTATCTGTTACTGCTTTGTAATAGTACTGGTGAGTTGGGGAATATACTCGTCAAGAGTCTCCAAAGACACAGAATAGAAATTTGTTAGAATAAAATTTATTTAAAAGTCAACGGTGGAGAGGGAAGCCCCATGTGAGAGTAACAGAAGCAAGGTTGATTGTTACTAGAGAAAAGCTAGTCTAGACAGGATGAAGCTTGTTAGAAGGTAGGACACCAGAAGAGGGTCCTCCTGGAAAGTAAAACTGAGGGAATCCCTGATGCCTTAAGAAAAGAAGAGTCAGGCTGTGGCAGGGCACGGCCTGCTGTTAATCCCAGAACCGGATGGTGATGGGTAACAGTTGGATCTCTGAGTTTGAGGCTAGCCTGGTCTACAGAGTAAGTCCTAGAATAGCCAGGGCTATTGAAAAAAATAAAGTTTTGGGTGGGGAACAGAAGCAGAGTAGGGAGGGATAGAAGGAGATATTTCTTCAATGGTTGCCTCATTACAAGAATAGGCCCTGTGTATAACTGAACCAGCCAGTCAACTATGCTTACTTGCTCTTTTCTTCTCCTACAGTTAACCATGGTCCACGTGGGTAGTTTTCTGTGTACTTTCCACTAATTCAACTCTGGTTACTCAGGTCTTCCAGGGTGTGTAATGTGTCAGGAATTCCTTCAGTTACAGCTTCCAGATGAGCCTTCCCTCTGAGCCTCCTGGTGTGCTTCATGTTGTCTGGACAGCATTCCTGCAGGCCTCCTGTGCTGTCACTGCAGACCCCCTTCACACTCCCCAATGTTGGATCTCCAATTTTCTGGGACCCCTGACTTAACTACACCCCTTTCCTTTGGAAAGCTCATGTCCAGTGACTTCTAAAAATGGAGTGAATTGTTGAGCTCTTCCATACCTAAGAGTGACTTTGAAAGTGCAGCTCTAGGCTGGAATGTCACTCAGTGATGTGGCTGGCACACACCACTTGGGAAATTCAAACCTGACTTGGTTTAAGATATATGTGCTGGGTGAGTCCCACATATGTGCTGGGTAAGTCCCACAGTGTGGGTAGAAGTAAGAAGCTTCGCTATGTTGCCCAGCAAGGCAGCTACAGGCAGTAATGTACTGTGTCTTTTAAAGGATTTTAAATGCTTTTACCATAAATGATCATGTTTGTGGGATTAGATGTTTAACCTTAAATATTATACATATATTTGATAAATACAGGACCTTCTGAATCCTGAACTTTCCTGTTATCTGTTCTTTTCTGTGCTGGGTGTCGGGGATTGGGGGAATGGTTCCTTCTTACCTTTTTTCTGAAATTTCAGTCATATGCTTAATGAGTTTGTAGTTCTATGTCCTGATAAAGAGAAAACATCTCATGACCTTTGTTAATGCGGACAAACACTAATTGAAGGGAGCCATGAAAATAGAAACAGGGACCGTCCTTGTGGAGATGTCGCTGTGGAAGAGAGGGATTGGGTTCCACCACACTTAGTAAGGACGAGTGGGGCGTGAGCTACGGGTCAGCACCTGGGAAGTAACTAAGAAGAAACCAGGCATAAGGAGATTTCCAGCTACCCCAGCTTGACAGGATTATTGCTAACGGCAAGCCCCATGATGAGATATGGAGGGGTCCGCTGTCAACAACAGACCATTTCTTCTGACCTGTCTTCCTCACATTAGCTTCCACCAGGACACAGGGAAACTCAGGATCAGGCCAAGTCAGTGTAACAGAGAGGTGTCTTCCTCCATCTTCTTAGAGTCCCTGGCTAGGTTGGAAAATAGAATTAACCAAGACAGAATTGAAAAAAAATTGCTTCATGTTTTTATGAGGCAGTGGAGTCTTCAGAACTAAAGACCCAGATTACTGGGAAACTACCTGTATCATGCTGCTTGGTGAAGGGAAGTGTGACTGCACAAAAGACATGAGCTAGGGCTCAGCCTAGGGAATTCTGCCCGGCCTCTGCTGAGACTTTCGTCAGAACTGAGGCCATCTTTACGTGAGTATGAAGCTGGTACCACTCAGGAAAGGCAGAGAATTCCTAGGTTTGAAAACAAGTTAAGGGGAGAAGGCATTGGGAGGTCAGAGAAAGCTCCCTGCTTCTTCTGCTCTCCCTCATGCCCTCTGCTTTGCCCACTCAGGATGCTGGAGGTGCCATGTCTCCAATCCCTGTCATTGGAGGAACACCTGGAGGCTGGAGAGGTGGCTCAGCGACCAGAGCATCAGTGGACCTGGTTAGGTTCCCAGCACCCACATAATGGCTCCACCCCCGTAACTCAAGTTCTAGAGGATCCTACTTTTCTTTTGAATGCTGTGACACTAGGCACTAGTACAATTTTTGAAAGAAATAGAATCCATGGGATCCTGATCAAAGTTTTCACCACAGGATATTGGTCAACCCCAAATAGGACATTTTAGTCTGGAAATGGGGCTTTCAATTCTAGAAAATTGTCTTGATCTTGAGTAGGATTGCTTTCTCTGTTTCCGTGGTTGATTTACTAACAGTCTGGTTGTTTGGTCAGAGCACCTGTGCTCATCGCTCACGGTCCACCTCCTGGTTTCCGTCCTATGTACTCCACTACACCTGGGCCGTGTGATTCTCTGAGTTCGCTTACTCTCTCCCAGTGCTCCTCCTACACCAGCCTAGTTTGGGGGTTTGGTTGACATTTCTCTTTTTTTCTTGCTGACAGTTTTATGATCATTGGGGTTTGTTTTTAAAAGTTTCTTCTTTATGGTTTGTTGCTTCTAGATTTCTTGCTTTTTCTTATCCACCATCTGCAATGTGAGAGGTATTTCTTTTATTCTAATTATCTTAATTACCCTCTCATGTTTCTTGATTTTCTTCTGATAAAAACTGTAGAGCTATTTCTGAGTCCTGAGAATTGGGAGGACAGAGGGTTGTGGGCATGAGCCTCATGGTTTCATAATCAAGGTGAACTTTGTTGGGGACCCATTTTTGACAATTTAGACTTTTCTGAGGTAGTAAATAACTTAGGAAAGGCGTTTTTTGAGGTTTTGATAAAGGTAAAGACCTCATTGACAACACATGAAGAAAACTGGTGTCCAAATGGAGTCGACCTGCGTTCAGGAATCTCCATTTCTCAGCGTGTTATGTGTGCTCCACCCAAGGCTGTTCTATCAACAGGCTTAGGGTACTTGTCAAACAGCTCAAAAAAGAATACAACGTGTGTATGTGACAGGTTTCAATTCTGGTTGGGGGAGGTTGTTTTTTTGTTTGTTTGGTGTGGAGGACTGGAACCAGGGCCTCAGATGCTCACATGCCCTGCCCCTGAACTACAGCCATGGCCTGAATATTTGTTAAACATATTTCCAATATCTTCTAGCCACCTTTTCCCTAATGTCCTCTTGTCTTCCAGATTCCTGACACCTCAAATCCTTAGTTTCAGGGATTTCTTCCTGGTAATCTAGGTGGTCCTCAGCTTTCTCTGGCCGCTTAGTTCTCAGCTTTGTCGTGACTGCTAACTCCCTTGTCACCCACTCTCATTTAGCTCTGGTCTTCCTGCCCATTCATTTCATCCCTGTTGGGATTATATCTTTACCAAAAAACAAACAAACACCTTTTCAGAGGGTTTTAGAAGGACAATATATGTAGATATACACTCTATTGTCTTTAGCCAAAAGTTCACATTGAGTCTCTAAGTGTTAAATATAAATATGCAGTTATATTTGCCCTATTCCCCTAAATAGATCATTTTTGAGAGTTTTATTTAAAAATATTTCAAGGACATACAAATCAATCTATCTAAATCAGAGAAAGGTAATTGAGTTAGTCTCTTATAAGTAAATTTCAGCTAAATAAAATTAAGTTTGAGCAGTACTCATCAGCATTCACTCTGTCTTCTGTGACTCACTCATGTGGAATGGAAAGGTTAGAACCACCCAGAGCCGTGACAGGGTCAGACGTGCATTACCTGCAGCAGAGCCGTGACAGGGTCAGACGTGCATTACCTGCAGCAGAGCCGTGACAGGGTTAGACGTGCATTACCTGCAGCGGCTGAGTCGGTGTCGAGATGTGGAAAGCTATGTTGTAAAACCCGATGCCACTAAGATCTGAGAACTGCGAGCAGACAGTGGAAAAACGGTCCTGCCCATCAGGAGCCTCAGTGGTAAACAGGAAAACAGGGCGCGACCCATAGAGAGCAAGTGTGATCACAGTGCACCAGGAAAACAGGGAGAGTGCCCCAGCGCAGAGGGCTGAACCTTCATGTGGCTGACATGAAGAGATGCTTGGCAGAACAAGTTATTTAGACTTAGTTCTTCACTTACTATTGGTATGGCTATAAAACTTGATGTGAATATAAATAAAAGCTCTTAAAGACATTTTTCTCATGACTTAAAGGTATCATAATCAGTTTTTAAGTTTAAGGGATTTTTGTTAGCAAATATTAATTATAGGCCATCCTAGGTTTCATCATGACATTTTACACCCACTTTTACAATCTCGTATTCAGCCTCTTCCAGCCTCTATTCTCTCTCTTTTCCCGTCCCACTCTGCTGGTCCTTTCCTCCTGCCAGCTGTCCCCCCTCCTTCCACATTCTTTCTCTCTGTCCCAGCCGCCCATAGCTGAGTGCGTGCATGCATATAGATCAAGTTTTATATATCCATAATTAGACTTGGTTAAGGTTTTTATTTGATTCTAAAGGCTTGTTTATCTGTGTTTCTGTACCACATTGTTTTAAATATTTATATGGCTTACAAATATTCTTGACATCAATTGGCACCTTATTTGATTTTTTTAAAATCTGTTTGAGTATTTTACTTTCATGTATGTGTGGGCACTATATTCATGCCTGGCACCTGCAGAGGCCAAAAGAGGCTGTAGGCTTCTCTGGAATCAGAGTTACAGATGGGTGTAATCCACAGTGAGAGCTGGGAACCAAACCTGGGTCCTCTCCAAGAGCAACAGGCACTCCTAACTGCTAAGCCATCCCTCCAGCCTCCACACTCATTTAAAAAAAAATGTGGAAACAAATATATTTAAGAACATTTCTCTAAAACTTTTATATAAATACTATTAGAGTAAGATTTTGTTTTTGGAACATGAAATTATGTAGAGAGCTTAGGTATTTATCTTTAGAAATTTTATAATGTAGAGAAATACAACAAAATAAATGAAAAACGTCAAAATTCACAGTTTTGTTTTTTGTTAGCTTACAAAATTGAAAAGCTATGTTAATGTAAAGTACTGTTTCTGAGTAATCTTGATTTTCATTAATTTTTATATTATCATGTTTTTCAAATTTGTTGTAATCTTATTTATGAAACAAGCAGAAAAATATGTTATTCAATGTGTACTTATGGATAAGAAGCATGATCTAATAATAGGAGATATTTGACTGGGGTCAGTTTTCCACAAGCAATCCCTAAAAAAAAAAAAAGAAGAGAAAAAAGGAATCCCTTCCTTGGCAGTGTGTTTTGATGTCTTGTCTGCATATGACAGAGTTATTGACTTCTCAACGTTTTGTCCACGCGTAAGAACTCATACTTCCTGGTTTACGGCTCACACCTTGTGCTCTTGCCTAGAGTTTTATATACTCCTGGCCACACTGACGATCACATGGCTTTACTCCTGGAAGAGGAAAATGCCATCTTTTCTGGGGATTGCATCCTAGGAGAAGGGACAACGGTATTTGAAGACCTCTATGATTATATGAACTCCCTAAAAGACTTACTCAAAGTCAAAGCTGACATCATATATCCAGGTGAGTGATGTCTTCTACTGAAAGTCAAAGCTGACATCATATATCCAGGTGAGGGCCATCGTTTGGTCTAGCAAGCCACTCTCTTCCCATGATAAGAACTGCCCATTTGGCTTACCTCTGAGTTGAAACATGAGACAACATGGAGGTTTTTGTATTAGCATATACTAATTGTCTGAGTACTAGGTTCGATGACGGCATTTTCATGCACATATTATATAGCAGACCTTGAGCGGACTTACCTGCATTACCCTGTTCTACACCCCTGTCGCTGTTCCTCTCTGAAACTTTAATTTTTTAAAGTTTTATGTTTTAATAATATATGTTTTAGGGGGTGCCTACCAGTGCAGTGCCCATGGAAGCCGGAAGAGGGTCAGGTCCCCTGGAGCTGGAGATGCAAGCAGTTGTGAGCATCCTGACTTGGATGCAAATGGAACCCAAGTCTTCTGTAACAGTAGTCCATGTTCTTAACCTGTCAGCCATCCTTCCAGCCCCTCAGTGCTCTTTTTTTTTTAAATCTAGACTCTGCATATGAGTGAAACATGATAGGTGACTTTCTGAAGTTGACATAAGATCCATCCATTTTCCAACAGATAATATGATTTCATTCTTTGTAGTATAATAATATTCTGTTGTATATAAATACTTGATTTCACTTTCTTTCGTCCATTGACAAGTACCCATGCTGATTCCAGAACTTGCTATTGTAATTAGTGGCAAGATAACATGAATATTTAGATACATCTCTTGGCATGAAACTGGTGATTTCTTCGAGTATATACCCAACAGTGGTACAATTAGATCATGTGATAGTACTATGTGCAAGTTAGTTGGTTGGTTGGTTTCATTTGGTTGGTTGGTTTGGGTTCAGTTAGGTTGGTTTGCTTGCTTGGTTGGTTTTGTTTATTTGGTTGGTTGGTTGGTTGGTTGGTTAGTTGGTTGGGTTGGTTGGTTGGTTGGTTGGTTGGTTGGTTTGGATTCAGTTGGGTTGGTGTGCTTGGTTGGTTAGTTGGCTGACTGGCTTTGGTTTTTACAGTATTGAGGATGGAACCCAGGGACTTATACATGATAAGCAAGTACACTACCTCCAAGCTATATCCCAGTTCCATTTTTCATTTTATGGGGAACCATCTTGCTTTTTTCTGTATTAACCACACCAATTTACAGTTTCTTTCTCTTTTTTATTGGATATTTTATTTACATTTCAGATGTCACCCCTTTCCCAATTTCCCCCAACCCAGAAACACCCTATCCCTTCCCTCCCTCCTGCTTCAATGAGGATGTGCCTCAACCCACCCACCGACTCCCTCCTCCTCACTCTGGAATTCCCCCACAGTGGGGCCAAGCCTTCACAGGACCAAGGATTTCCTCTCCCACCTATGCCTGACAAGGCCATCCTCCCCTACATGTACAGCCAGAGCCATGGGTCCCTCCCTATGTGCTCCCAGGCTGGTGGTTTAGACCCTGGGAGCTCTGGTTGGTTGGTATTGTTGATCTCCCCATGGGGCTGCAAACCCTTTCAGCTCCTTCAGTCTTCTCTCTAACTTCTCCATTGGGAATCCCATAATCAGTTCTATGGTTAGCTGTGAACATCTGCCTCTGTATATGTCAGGCTCTGGCAGACCTCTAAGGAGACAGCTGTTATCAGGCTCCTTTCAGCATGCACTTCCTGACATGCACATCAGTGTCTGACTTTTGGTGACTGCACATGGGATGGATATCCAGGTGGAGCAGTCTCCGGATGGCCCCTTCTTCAGTTTCTGTCCCACACTTTGTCTCCATATTTGCTCCTATGAGTATTTTCTTACTCCTTCTAAGAAGGACTGAAGCACCCACACTTTGGTCTTTCTTCTTCATGAGCTTCACATGATCTGTGAGTTGTATCTTGGGTATTCTGATCTTTTGAGCTAATATCCACTTATCCGTGAGTGCATATCATGTGTGTTCTTTTGTGATTGGGTTACCTCACTCAGGATGATATTTTCTAGTTCCATCCATTTGCCAAAGAATTTCATGAATTCATTGTTTTTAATAGCTGAGCAATACTCCATTGTGTAAATGTAGAACATTTTCTGTATCCATTCTTCTGATGAAGGACATCTGGGTTCCTGCCAGCTTCTGGCTATTATAAATGAGGCTGCTATGAACGTAGGGGAGCACATGTCCTTGTTATATGTTAGAGCATCTTCTGGGTATATGCCTGGGAGTGGTATAGCTGGGTCCTCAGGAAATACTATGTTCAATTCTTTGAAGAACCACCAGACTGCTTTCCATAGTGGTTGTATCAGGTTACAATCCCACCAATAATGTAGGAGTGTTCCTATTTCTCCACATCCTCGCCAGCATCTTTGTCACCTGCTTTTTTGATCTTAGCCATTCTGACTCCTGTGAGATGGAATCTCAGGGTTGTTTTGATTTGTATTTCCCTGATGACTAAGGATGTTGAACACTTCTTTAGGTGCTTCTCGGCCATTTGAGTTTCCTCAGTTGAGAATTCTTTGTTTAGCTCTGTACCCCATTTTTTAATCATGTTGTTTGATTGTCTACAGTCTAATTTCTTCAGTTCTTTATATACATTGGATATTAGCCCTCTATCAGATGTAGGATTGCTAAAGATCTTTTCCCAATCTATTGGTTGCCATTTTGTCCTATTGACAGTGTCCTTTACCTTACAGAAGCTTTGCAATTTCATGAGATCCCATTTGTCAATTCTTGATCTTTGAGCATAAGCCATTGGTGTTCTGTTCAGGAACTTTTCCCCTGTGTCCATGTATTCGAGGCTTTTCCTCATTTTCTCATCTATTAGATTCAGTGTATCTGGTTTTATGTGGAGGTCCTTGATCCACTTGGACTTGAGCTTTGTACAAAGAGATAAGTATGGATCAATATGGATTCTTCTACATGCTGACCTCTAGTTGAACCAGCACCATTTGTTCAAAATGCTGTCTTTTTCCCACTGTGTGGTTTTAGCTCCAAGTGACTATAGGTGTGTGGGTTCATTTCTGGATCTTCAATTCTATTCCGTTGATCATCCTGCCTGTCTCTGTACCAATACCATGCAGCTTTTATCACTATTGCTCTGTAGTACAGCTTGAATTCAGGGATGGAGATTCTCCCAGAAGTTCTTTTATTGTTGAGAATAGTTTTCGATATCCTGGGTTGATATTCCAAATGAATTTGCAAATTGCTCTTTCTAACTCAATGAGGAATTGAGTTGGAATTTTTATGGGGATTGCATTGAATCTGTAGATTGCTTTCGGCAAGACAGCATTTTTACTATATTAATCCTGCCGATCCATGAGCATGGGAGATCTTTCCATCTTCTGAGACCTGCTTCAATTTCTTTCTTCAGGAACTTGAAGCTCTTGGCATATAAATCTTTGGTTAGATTCACACCAAGGTATTTTATATTATTTGTGACTATTGTGAAGGATGTCATTTCCCTAATTTCTTTCTCAGCCTGTTTATCCTTTAAGTAGATGAAGGCTACTGATTTGTTTGAGTTGATTTTATATCCAGCCACTTTGCTGAAGTTGTTTATCAGGTTTATGAGTTCTCTGGTGGAAGTTCTGGGGTCACTTAAGTATACTATCATATCATCTGCAAAGAGTGATATTTTGACTTCTTCCTTTCCAATTTGTATCCCTTTGACTTCTTTTTGTTGCCTAATTGCTCTGGCTAGGACTTCCAGTACTATACTGAATAGGTAGGGAGAGAGTGGACAACCTTGTCCGGTCCCTGATCTTAGTGGGATTGCTTCAAGTTTCTCTCCATTTAGTTTGATGTTGGCTACTGGTTTGCTGTATATTGCTTTTACTATGTTTAGGTATGGGCCTTGGATTCCTGATCTTTCAAAGACTTTTTACAATGAAAGGGGGTTGAATTTTGCCAAATTCTTTCTCAGCATCTAGTGAGATGATCATGTGGTTTTTTCCTTTGAGTTTGTTTATATTGTAGATTACATTGATAGATTTCCATATATTGAACCATCCCTGCATTCCTGGGATAAAGCCTACTTGATCATGAAGCATGATTGTTTTGATGTGTTCTTGGATTTGGTTTGTGAGAATTTTATTGAGTATTTTTGTATCACTATTCATAAGGGAGATTAGTCTGAAGTTTTCTTTCCTTGTGTCTTTGTGTGGTTTAGGTATGAGCATAATTGTGGCTTCATAGAACAAATTGAGTAGTGTTCCTTCTGTTTCGTTTTTGTGGAATAGTTTGAAGAGTATTGATATTAGGTCTTCCCTGAAAGTCTGATACAATTCTGCACTAAAACCATCTGATCCTAGGCTTTTTTTGATGGGAAGACTTTTAATGACTGCTGCTATTTCTTTAGGGGTTATGGGACTGTTTAGGTGGTTTATCTGCTCCTGATACAACTTTGGTGTCTGGTATCTATCTAGAAAATTTTCCATTTCATCCATATTTTCCCATTTTGTTGAACATAGGCTTTTGTAGTAGGATCTGATGATTGTTTGAATTTGCAAAGTTTCTGATGTTATGTCTCCCTTTTCACTTCTGATTTTATTAATTTGGATACTGTCTCTGTGCCCTCTGGTTAGTCTAGCTAAGAGTTTATCTATCTTGTTGATTTTCACAAAGAACCAGCTTCTGGTTTTGTTGACTCTTTGTATAGTCCTTTTTGTTTCTACTTGGTTGATTTCAGCCCTGAGTTTGATTATTTCCCTCCATCTACTCCTCTTGGGTGTATTTGCTTCTTTTTTGTTCTAGAGCTTTCAGGTGTGCTGTCAAGTTGCTAGTGTATGCTCTCTCCAGTTTCTTTTTGTAGGTGCTTAGAGGTATGAGTTTTCCTCTTAGCACTGCTTTCATTGTGTCCCACAAGTTTTGGTATGACGAGTCTTCATTTTCATTAAATTCTAAAAAGTCTTTAATTTCTTTCTTTATTTCTTCCTTGACCAATTCATTATTGAGTAGAGCATTGTTCAGTTTCCATGTGCATGTGGGTTTTCCATTGTTTTTGTTATTATTGAAGACTATCC